GTAGTATTCTTGAGATTTTCCAATTTGCTGGTATTTTAGAAACATACAGGTTTGCTACTCAACAAATTTTTCCCTATACTGGGGGAAAACAATTAAATCCGTAGTGAGAAAATCTGGACAACCTGCCAGATGCTAACACTAACCAGTTGGTAACTGTGCACTTAGTCTCCCTGGATCGCTTTTTCTTTTTCACCTGTAAAATCTCTTCAAAGTTCTTTCAACTAAAGACCTTAGATACATTATTATATAAACTTTGAACTGTGCGCTAACGTTTTTGTTAGAGATTTGCTATGGACTGAACGGTGCCCCCACCAAATTCATATGTTGAAATGCTGACCCCCAGCGTGACTGTATTTGGAGATAGGGCCCATAATGGGATAATTAAGGTTAAATGGGGTAATAAAGTGGGGCCCTAATCCCATAGGATTAGTGTCCTTATAAGAAGAGACACTAGAGAGCTCACTTAGCTCTCTTTCTGAATGCTTAGAGGAAAGGCCATGTGAGGACCAAGCAGCCATCTACAAGCCAAGAAGAGAGCTCTCACAAGATACAGAACCATGCTGGAGCCTTGATCGTGGACTTTCCAGCCTGAGAACTGTAAGAAAATACATTTCTGTTGTTTAGGCTACCTAGTGTGTAATATTTTGTTACACACTAGGTGGCTTAATATTTTGGCCGCCTAAGAAGACTAATACAGGATTTAACCATATTGAGTACATTTTTACAAATTGAATCTTTAGTTTATATGATTTGTACATTAGATATATAACTTCTTTGTGTTGGAATAGGAAGTGAAAGGTTTTAACCTGGTGGTGGAAGGAAGACCACGCCCCTTCTGTTTTTCTCTGAGCTCCTAGATCCTGGGGAATTACGGTATTGAGCTGGATGTTAAGAGTAATTCAGTTGGATTTTTGAGCTAAGTAGCAGAGGAACCTGAGCATAGTTGAGAAGCAGTTATTATTTGAAGGCAGAATAACCAAGCTAGAGGGCTTCTCTCTTTAACAGTATCTACCTACAATATTAATAACCTTTTGAATATCCCTGTTATAGTAATTAGTATTATATCGCTGGGGATTGGTATCATATTGTTAGTGTCACCACCTACAAACTTCACTCTAAAGAATCCAATTTTAATGAAGAGCAAATTGCCAGAGTGGGGGCTTGTAAATGTCTAAGGCTTTTTTTTCTTTTAAACCTCTTTTTGCCTTGGTATAGCAGGGGGATAGGACGTATGGTAAAACATTGTCGAGTAAATACACCTGTTGCATAGTTGTACCCCTCTCCCACAAGCATATTTCTAACCTGTTCTGGTCTGCAGCAATAGGATTGTGTCAAAGAGTACCATAGGAAGTGGCAGGCAACTTGGGCTGGGGAGCATCTTGCTCAGATTTATATTGCTTTTCTATACTGTTGCTGGTTCCATGCAAGTGCATTTCCCTGAGAGCTACTACGATTGACCTGACAGTATTGGCTGCCAATTGGCTGGGAGGATTCACCTAGATTAGGTGGTTACTTCCTGTTCCTGTCTACAGACTTGGAAAAACAGAGACAGTTTACTTTTCTCCAAAGGTTTCTCAGAACACGGTATAAAATGTTCAGAAGTAGGAGAATGCCTTAAAAAAAAACTATGCCTGGTTGCCCTCAGAAAAACATTTGCATTAATATTTCATTTTGAGCCACTTTCTAGTTCATAATATTTTTTTCAATGTATGTAGGTGGCCTTAAACCGTATGGTAAAAAGATTGGGTTGTCAGAAATGTCGTGACACATTTTTGCAACAAAAAACATAGAAAAAATATGTCATGACTTTTCCAACAACCCAATATTTCCCCAAAACATTCAATCTCTGTCTTACTATGAACTGTTTTCCTTATATCCTTGTCATTGAGCAGCTCCTCTCAGTAGGCTCAAATCCCTTTTTCTACTTTGATCTGTCTCTGATTATTGTTGATGACTTATGTCCTTTTGGGAATTCATACATGTTTTAATAACACATTTAAGAATGAAATTGCCTATTTCTTCTCTGTGTATGCTGGGAAAAGAAAACTTTTTGTTGCTCTTTTCAGATAATATGTATCGAATTTCCCCATAGTTATTGCCCTGTACAAAGTAGTTATCACACAGAAGATACAATCTCTTGTACCCCTTATGTTTATTCTGTTTCAGTCTACTTTAAAATTCTTAACTTCTCAAGTTTTTTTCCCTATTAAACGTTGCTTTTAGGTATTGTGGGTTTTTAAAATTCCATATACATATTCTTTATAAAATACATTGGATGAGCATTTGCAAAGGAGAAATTAGAGTCCCAGATTTTGAAGGAATACATTTATTCTGTCTTTTAAAGTCTGATTTCTTCCATTTTCAGGCACAGTGGGATTGTCAAGTAGCAACCCCCCCCCTGCCCCCATCTTTGACACAAATACTTCTCCACAATACCAACCCCCAGAGTGCATGCTGGTAAGAAACAGGGAGAGTGCAGATAATCCTGCATCTGCTTTACCTCTTATGAGGGCTCTTGTGAACACATACTCAACAGTGCCTAAAATTCATGGACTGTTACATCTAGTAGAGACCACAGTGCTGTGCACTTTTACACATCCATGCTCTTACTTATTATGGAATGCCTTTTCTCCCAGGCTGCCTGGCAAAATGCAGCTTACCCTCTAGTACCCTACCCCCTGAATACATCATCCCTCCATCAGTGACAGCACAGCATTATGAGAAAAGAATGGTATATCATTTCCCCCACTATGTGTTTGAATGCCCTCCAACAGATTTCATAAGACAGTGTTTAATTTGTGTCCTTTTTCATTTACCCTTCACATTTGAAATTTTTGTTTGAGTAGCAAGGATTATAGTGAGAATGATGTACATATATATTTTCTAGTGAGATCAATAAGAGAATTGCAGGTAAAGTACTTTTAAATAACTTTCATTTATTGTGTTTTTGATAGGAAAGGAATTCACTCACACTTTTAGATTTCTCACTTAAGTCACTGAGGAAGAGAATATACCACTTCTGTGTCATTGAGAAGCCATCATGGTATTTTAAAGATACGTTATGTATGTTAGTTACAGTGTGATTCACTTTGTTCTGAGTCTGCCAAGGGACATATCTTACGTAGAGATATTTTATATAGGCGTTGTTATGGTAAAAGTATTTTCCAAAAACATCCAATCTCTGTCTTAGGGGAGAGGATTGATATCTTACTGTCTATATAATGTCGGCTGACATTGACTCCACCAAGTTAGAAGGTTAAAAATGAAGAGATGACATTAATCTTTAAAGATAATGTGTGAATTTTAGGATACTAGTATTTGTATGGGTAGTAGAAAAAATGAGAAAGTAATTCCGTCTAATTCTTGTCTTTCTGATCTGTGAGTCAAGAGAAATTAGAGAAAATTTCTAACTGGAGCATTAGAATCTTGTTTCAAGTTATGAGCTATTCAGTACACATGATGTAGAAAATAGAAAACCTGGAATTTACATTTTGCTTTTAATTTTAGTACCTTTAGTGTAGGTCCTTCAGCACGCGAATGCTACAACTTGGCCTTATATGTACTTTAGTCATCTTTTTCAATGTCTCTGGGCATTTAGCCTCTGGAAGAAGGTAATTCTTAGTATTGCTCCCCGGTTTGTATACATTATTTATTTGGGAACCTGTCTGCCATTGTGGCTACCTGTCAGAGCTCGGCACAGCTTAAATGTTTCGAGTGAGTGAGTGAAGTGCTTGAACAGAGTATCTTTTTACCCAATCCCAGATGACTGATTAGAGTACTTTAAAGAAAGAAGGTGTTCTCCAACTCAACAGCATAAGAAATATATGATGTATGGTATATGTCCCTAAGATTTAAAATTTTAAAAACCTGGAATGTGTTATATTATACCAACAATAATACTGTGTGTGAATACTCATATTAACACGAGCCATCCCCAACTGCAGGGCGTTTATCTTTTTACAAAATGTCCTAAAATGTGTAAATTAATTTATTTTAAAAACTGACATATAAAGTTACTTCTAATGAAAATAATTGGTTTTACACTTAACCAATAATTGAGACTGCCAGTGGCTTGCTGCAGAATCCAAACATCTACTGTATTAAAACTTAATTTAAAACCACATTATTTCCTTGATGCCATTGTATTATAATTGATACTTGGATAGTTGATGCTTGAGAGGTTGTGTTTATTGGCAATAATTTTATCTAAAAATTACAATAAATTTTTTGGTTTCGGAGCATTACTTTGTTAATGTTTGCTGTTGTCCTTCACTTCTGAACCCTACTCCTTTTTCTAGGCCAAGCTGAAGATGATCAAACTCAGTGAAATTTTCTTCTATCCCACTAGCTTATTTTATGGTATTTTAGAAATAGTTTATAGCACTTATTTCCTTTTTCCTTGTTTTAGCTGTGAACATGCCTGCCTTCTGTACTGGCTACTAGAGAGCAACGTCTGTGTTATAGGCAACTTTGTATTTCTGGTAACACCTTTCATGGTAGTTTGCCCCAGTATATTCAGTAGGTATATATAGAAATTGGTGATTTTCCCCCAGGTTTTATAAACTAGACGTATGAATCAATCAGTAACTTGAGGTTTAAATGAAGAATCAGACAGTCAAACATGATGGTTAAAGCTCTGTGGTCAAGATTGCCCAGGTTTGAGTTCCTACTTCATTATGTATTAACTGTGGGACTGCCTCATCTGTAAAATAGGAATGTTAGTAATAGCACTAGCCTCCTAGAGTTATTGATAAGGATTAACATAGATAACTGGTTTAAGGCATTTATTGTGCTGCCTAACATATAGGGTAGGCTCAATACACTGTAGCTATAATCATTGTGAAATGCGGTCCTATTAGGCTACACCCAGCCCCTTGAGGTCCTGTCATTTCATTTGGTCTTTGTATCTCAGGCACCTAACCTTGCATATAGTAAATACTCAATAAATACTTGCTGGAATTGAATTGATTGATTTACCCTATTTTTATCTTCCATTACAGCCCACTGTTTGTAACATGGAAGATTGGTCGAGATAAAAGATTGCGTGGATGCATAGGTACTTTTTCTGCCATGAATTTGCATTCAGGACTCAGGGAGTACACACTTACCAGGTGAAGACCAATTTTTGTTACCTCTGCTTCTACACTAAAAAACAAAAAAACAAAAACAAAAACAAAAGCAAAAAACTTATGAAACTTGAACCTCATTCTTTAACTCCTTTTTCTTTACTGAATTGTCAATATTCTTGACTCCTTTCATGTCAGATTTTTTCCTTCGTCCATTTATTTGCCTTATCGCTGACAAAATGTTTTTGATATATATATTATCATAATTTAAGATACTGTGATTACATGTATTCTGCCATAGATGTTTTAAAGTGTTTTTTTTTCCTTCAATGGCCACCTTATTTTGTATAAAAAAGCAATGACCAAATGTCCATGGGTTACCAAAATGTATTATTTCTACAATAATAGGCATTGTGTCTATTAGGCTTTTTAAAAATCTGTTGATGTCTATTTTATCTTGCATATTTTGTTACACTTTTATGTACTTTTGAAATTGAAGCAAGAATCTAGGAAGAAAAGTGATGCCACAGCCTGGCAGCATAATTAATTCACATTCATACTTTACCCAGAATTAATTGCAGCTTACTTACTTGGTTTCATCTAACACAGGACAGAGTAATGAATGCCTCATTACGTTTTTTAAGACTTTGTTCTTAATATCTGAACTCACAAAAAGCTAACATACCATCTTATCTTTTCAGTTCAAGTTTAGATTTCTAGCAAATTGTGTCCCAAAATTATTTCAAAAGCAGAAAATTACTTAAATAATAAGCTATTAGTAAAGGAATTTCCTGTTTTGGTTCATATTTCAGGGTGATTATCTGATACAATTTCTATAGTTGTAATATGCACAGTGTCTGTCCAACAAATTGGTCTCTGCTGACTGTTGGTACGACAATATTTGTATCAATTATTGTACAACTATTGGGGCAAGTTGCTTAACCTCACATAAATAAAGTAGTAACTGCAGTACGTATTGTGTTTTATATACTTAATAGGGATGTTAGGGAGATGTTAGGGGAATTAGGTAATCACTGCATTGCTTCACGATTAATATTGTGTAACATGCATGATTTTACTATAGAATTGCATAAATGCAGTTCATAGCACCAGTTAATAAAATGCAGGTAACTGAGTTTAGTATTCTTTTATTTGAAGGTGCAGCTCACAGCCTCAGGGTTTTCTTAGCTTGCAATGAAGCCCAAAAAGAAAATAAAAGTTTTGGAGGGTTGCATTCATTGTTAGATTTTCACAGGAATTAGAACTTTGGTGCTTGGATTTGATAAACTAACATACAGGCAGTAAAGGGGTCCAAACACATATTCTGGAAATAATTACAAATTGCTAAAGATAGTGTAAATGCTAGTCGAGGCATGTTAGACTTTTTTTTCTTCCCTGACATGAAATACCACGGACTTGTTTTGGGACTTTAGCAAATTCTTCCAGTGACTACCTTTGGGACAGGTACATATGAAATTACACTTTTAATAGCTAATCAAGACAATTTATTATACATTTCCTAATGTTGGTTGTTATGAAGAACACTGGTTCCTTGGTATTGCCTGACCAAAGGAGTCTATGGTGAAATAAATTTTGGGAGCACTGGCTAAACAAATTTAAACAGTTTTGCTCACAACAGGAATTTTCAGAAACTTTTATGTTAACAGTGTTGTTAATCTCTAAGAGAGAGGTAGAGAATGCATTTCCCAGACTTCAATTTTTTTGACTACAGAACCTTTTATCCTCCCATCCCAGTGTCTTATGCTGTTAGTATTCCAAGGAATATATTTCCTGAAACATAAATCTGTTTTAAAATTCCCATTTAAAAATTTTCCTTTTTTTTTGTAGTTGGGGAGTGTGGGTTGATACTATAGAAACCCTTTGTACTTTCTAATGCAATTGTGGCAGAAATCCCAGTATCAAATATTACACACTTTAGAAATCTTTAGTAGTAGTAACTGCAGTAGCAATTTGGTTTTGTTTAAAGAAAATATGAGATTTTCTGCCTACATTGATAAGAAGGGATGAACATATCCAACTTTTCTGGACTTGTGGGTCTGTCTCCTAGGATAATTACCAGAAAAATTACAGTATATTTTTCTGACAGTGTGATTCTGAATGAATTGTTCAAATAGTTGAACTTGGAAATTTACCTACGTTTGTATACATGGTTACCCTCATTGTAGTCTGTAGTTCTTCCTATTTACTTTTCATTTTTTTCTCATGTTTTTATACAACTTCCTGAAATTCTATATATCACAGAGAGATGTGTGTGTGTTTGTGTCTGTATGTATACACATATACATACTTGGTCTTATCATTTTTGTTTTGCTTAATTTCTTTTGCTTAATATGATAATAAGAATGACATTATTTGGAAGAGATGAACAAAATACCAAGCCTTACAACATACAGTTGCTCTTTTTTCTGCATTCATTTTAGGATCAAAATTGTGGAGTTATTTTTAAAAGTTGCAATATAATGTCTTTCAGTCTAATAGGGCACTTATCACTTCTACATGTTGTTGCTGCTATTGTTGTTATTAATAGCTACCATTTATTAAGAACCTTACTACATGTCAGACACTGAAGAGGAGCTTTATATACATGGTCCTCACAACATCTCTTAGGTATTAATATCCACATTTTTAAAATGAGGAAACTTGAGTTTATAGAATTTAAGTAATTTAGGCATTCACACATATAGTAAGGGGTAGAACCAGGATTCAAACCAGGCCATCTGACTGTAAAGTCCAAGCTCTTAACTCCTACATTTAAGATAAAACAAAATGAAGTTTTTTGAAAATTTATGTTTTGCAGCTTCATCATGAACTTGAAAGCATTTTACTATAAAATAAATCATGGATCAATAATTCTTTGAAAATTCTAGTTAGAAGTTAAGACTGAAATTTTGGAATGGTATTTTAAATTCCAGAAAATCCATGGATGGGATTATAAAAAGTATATAACTCAGGGTTCTATAGACTAGTCAGAAGAAAGTTGACTTGGATTAATATTGTAGGAAAGGATAATGCTTATTATAAAAATATACTACTGTATGATATGAAACTGTATTTTTTGGCTACATGTAAATAATGGACTAGATGTCAATAAGATTACAGTTTTTCTTAATAATTTGTGATTCTTGGATTCTGGTCTTCCAATCTTAAAAGTTCATAAATCACAAAATTTACAAATGGAACCAAATGAACTTAGGGAGTTGGGGATAAAAATGAAGGAGAACACAAAGCAAAAAATAAGCAATGAAATCAAAGACTCACCAGGTATAGGTGTCTTTAAAAAAAGAAGATCTGGTTTTTCACAATCTTCAGCTGTGACTAAACTATTGTTCAGTTTTTAGAATGTTACTCATCTATACCCTTTTTTATTGTAAGCTATACATAACAAAATTTCCATTTTAACCAATTAAGTGTACAGTTCTATGCCCTTAAGTTCATTCACATTGATGTGCAGTCATCACCACCATTCATCTCTAGTACTTCTTCATCTTCTCCAAATGAAACTCTGTATGCACTAAACACTAAGTCCCCATTTCCCCCTCCTCCAGTAAAAACAACCATCATTGTACTTTCTGTCTCTATCAATATGACTCTTCTAGGTACCTCATGTAAGTAGAATCATACAGTATTTGTCCTTTTTGTGACTGGTTTATTTCATTTAGCATGATATCTTTAAGGTTCATCCATGTTGTAGCACATGTTAGAATTTCCTTCCTTCTTAAGGGTGAATGGTACTCCATTGTATATATAGAAACCACATTTTGTTTATCCATTCATCTGTCTGTGGACACTTGAGTGGCCTCCACCTTTTGGCTATTCCAAATAATGCTGCTGTGAACATGGGTGTACAAATATCTGTTGGAGTATCCTTTTTTCTTTTGAATGCTAACCATTTTATAGAAGACAAGATCTAGTTTGTTTGTGATCCCTTAATCTCTGAAACCTAAATCTAAAAAAAAAATGACACTTTTTAAATGAAATGACTATCGTGGGTTAAGTTTTTATTTATAAACACACTGTTTTAAAACTAAAATACTTGTCATAGTCAAGTTGTATAGTCTCCCAGTTGTAATTTTGATTTTAGACTGAAATAAAACCTTATAAATAGGCTGTGGATTTCCTCCCAAATGTAAAAATGCATAATTTCTGTGTAGGTAGCAGGAAAACTTTGTGAGAATTATAACTTGGAATTATTAAATAGACTATCCTTGTCCTTGGAGACTATGGGTAAAAGCAGGAAAGATTATAGCAAATAAGAAGCAGTATGGAGAGCTCAGAATTATTGATAGAAGTTTATTCATGGTGACAAATTAAAGTCCACAAATAGCTGTCTTTATTAGTGGTCAAAACTTCAAAATAGAAATACTCTTTGTCCCAGCTGAAGAAGAATTTGTAGTATTTACCAAGCTACTTGCATTTATGACTTTTACATGTTACAAAGCAGAGACAAATTTATTTCCTCTTCTTTCATACTTAGATTATATACTTTTATAGATAAGAGAATTACAACTAATATAGATGAACACAAACATCTCGGTCAAATAAAATTCCTTAAAATTTGGACTAATAAACTCTCTAGCAAAGTGTAGGTTTATTACTTTATGAAAATTGAAGTTGGTAGTAATTTTTCTAGATGACATAAGTGATTAATATATATGGTACTATTTTGTAAAAGAGGAATGTTGTCTGTCATCACACTTAAAAGACTCTTTATTCTAGTTATTTTGTTGTGCTTAGACCTCTTCACAATCAAACAATTATGCAGGTGTCTAGAGCTTGATTCTGAACTGTGCTTCTTTGTTGCACTGCATAATTCAGAGAAATTAGCAATGGAAGTTGGTTCTTTTTTAGGGAACAAGGTAACCACATAAAAGGTGATATGTTTTGGAGTTTTGTGTGAGTGAAGTATTGAGTGGTGTGTGTGTGTGTGTGTGTGTGTGTGTGTGTGTGTGTGTGCGCGCGCGCACGCGTGCATGCACGTGAGAGAGAGAAAAGAGAAGAAGGAGAGAGGGAGAGAGATACTGAAA